TTTTTGGCATCGCTTTGTTACAGGCGCATGTTTTGAATATTCGCCAAATCGGATCATAAAAAAGATTTTTAGTAATACCTCAACCCCGGCGCCAACTGGCGGATCAAATTGTGAAACTAAACTATCCAGAGACCCACTCAAACACACACACAAAACTTTGTTAAAATCCCTCCAGGCATTTAGGATTTCACTCACAAATATACCTACAGAAGAATTGTATACACATTCAAAGATAAGTAAAAGTCAGTACGTTTGTACTTTGCCACGCCCTCTTTTCAAAGAGCCCATTTGTCTCAATGAGTACGGGATTGATTTCATATATCTCCATACGAAGTGTTCCAGTACTGCACCATGAACACTTCCAGAGATATGCAGTATGAAATTCGGCTTGTATGGTAGGTGCCACGCCCCTTGTCCCATAGCCCTATATTTTCTCCGTGAATATGCGATTAATTTCATATATCTCCGCACCAAGTTCCAGTACTCTACCAAAAACAATCCTAGAGATATGCGATAAGAAAAATTCGACTTGTATGGGAGCTGCCACGCCCGTAAAAAGTTCCAGTACTCTACCACGAACACTTCCTGAGATACTTATTATGAAATATTCGGTTTGTGTGGGAGGTGCCACGCCCCCTTTTCAAATAGTCCGAATTTTTCTTCATGAGTATGCGATTGATTTCATATATCTGCATACCAAGTTCCGGTGCTCTACCATGAACATTTCCAGAGATATACAGTACGAAAATTTCGGTTTGTATAGGAGGTGCCACGACGTCTTTTCCAATAGCTCAAATTTTACTCCAAGAGTAAGCGATGGATTTCATATATACCCATACCAAGTTCCAATACTCTACCACAAACCCTTCCAGGGATATGCAGTACGAAAAATTCGGTTTGAAAGGGAGGTGCCACGCCCCCTTTTCCAATAGGTCCAATTTTTCTCCAAGAGTATGCGATCGATTTTATATGCGCCCATACCAAGTTCCATCACTCTACCATGAACACTTTCCAGAGATATGCAGTATGAATATTCGGTTTGTATGGGAGGTGCCACGCCCCCTTTTCCGATAGCTCCAATTTTTCACCAAGAGTATGCGATGGATTTCATATATCTCCATACCAAGTTCCAGAACTCTACCATGAACATTTCCAGAGATATTGATTATGAAAAATTCGGTTTGTATTTATTTTATTTTTACTTTATTTATTTCTTACGGCTCTTTTGAACCTAGATCATAACAATATTTAATTATAAGCTTAACCTAGTATTCAAAATGCAATACTTAAGCCTAATAGGACTATTTGTAAGGGAATTCATTTATATACAAACATTTAAAATTTCACGGGACGAAAGTAAATGGCAACAGGATCTTAGCGAGGATAGAGATAGAACACATTAGTTATATTGAAACAGTCTTATATATATATATACAGTATGCAAATAATTTTCTTTTAAATTAAGTTATTTTTCTATATTGGGTAATACTATTAGGTAATTCATTATAACATTTTAGAAAATTTGAAATTGAAATTAAATTATAGTAGAGATTACTCTTATCAGACTCACATTTAAACATGCGTAAGTTGAAGTCGTTTTTTACGGGTGTTTTTGTTATGTATATCATTGCCATACTTTATTCTACCTTTTAAATGTTCTGGCAGGTTGCCATCTATAATGTTTTTAACGAATTTCATAGCATAATAGAAGTGTTGTTGCTTAACACTTAACCAATTGAGGACCGCCAACATGTCTCTGATTGGGGTGTCATAACGTTTTCTAAGAATAAATCTCATTGCTCAGTTCTGTTGCTTTTGCAATTTATAAATCTGGCTTTCATTAATTATGAATGATATAGGTGGGAAATAATTTAGTAGGGGTTCTATTATAGCTCTGTATACCATTATTTTATACTTCCTCTTTAAGAATTTGCATGTACGTCGCATGAAGTATAACTTCGTTGCTATTTTGCTCACAGTATAACAGTATAGTATAGTATGGGAGGTTCCACGCTCCTTTTATAAATCGAGATTTTTGTTAGCCAAAAACCATCCTTTGAACGTCTGCAGTAGGTGTCCGAAATTTCAAAAAAATCGCTTCAGCCGTTCTCGAGCTTTGCGATATACACAGATGGTATGCTTGCTTTTAATATTGCGCTCACTTACGTACAAAAAAACATAGCAGCACGGTTTTTATGCGTAATTATATACATACATATGTAGGTGTATTTAACACCTTCATTTAAATATGCATTACTTTATTGCATTCTTTCTATTTGCCTGCAGCTGTGTATCCTTCACTCAATTTTATATCCCTCGAACAAGAAGTCAGTTTTCATGCTATTCAAGACCTTTAATTTAACCAAGGCCTTAACTGCATTGTATATTGCATTTTTTAAATTGAGGGATTGAAATTTTTTTCTTTTTCTAAACACTGGAATCTTGTTTCTCGTCTTAAAATCTATTATATTCGTATAATAATAAACACAAAAAATGGTTATTTTTTAACATATCCGTTGGATTTTGCATGCTGTTTTTCGAAGAACACTATTTTTGACCAATTTTTTTAAGGTCAAGGAGTGATTGTGGCTCAATGGCAACACCTTTTCTTGAAAAGCAATTAAATTAGCTTTCAAAG